TGCCAAAAAGGTATGCAGATAGCACTCTTTTAAAAATAGCAAAAAATAAATAAAATAAAAATGATAATTCCAGGAAGCAGGGAAAGAGAAGATAAATAAAGTAAAAAAATAAATAACAAATAAAAACAAAAAAAAAACATCTCCATTAGATCTTCAGTGCTCGAAGCTGGAGCTTTAGCAACAGCCTAAGGGGGGATATAACCTGAACCACATCTCAGAGTCATAATACATGTGCATGCATCCAAGGCAAACAGCTGAAGCGACCTACAGGCTGGAGCAGCAGAGTGATTAGGTAAACAGGTGGAGCTCATAGAGACACAGCAGCCTCTGCAGTAGCCACAGAGTTGCAACATGACAGAGAGAGAGACAGCCTCTAGATAAGACAGTAGCTTCCTCTGCCAAAGAGCATTCCGGCAGCTCCATTGCAATCCCGGAAGTTAAGCGCCCGCTGCCTTTGCACATGTACCACCTAGCCTGCTCTGTAGCCGGAACAAAAGCTGCCGCCATGATGTGAGGATTACCAGCCCCAGGCAGACCCCAGATGTGCTGAAATGTGGGACTACAAATGCCAGCCCACAACCATGTTGAGATATGGGACTACAATTGCCAGCCCACAGACTTGCTGAGATATTGAACTACAATAGCCAGCCAGGCCACAGACGTGCTGAGATATGGGACTAAAATTGCTAGCCAGCCCACAGACATACTGAGATATGGGACTACAAGTCAGCCAATCTATGCACAGGTAAGTCACCCTGCCTTTCCAGCAGTACTTTATACTGCCCCATGGAAATAACTGCTGTTGGGTAGCATAATCAACGTACAGTAATTTATACTGCATGCACAACAATCCCTGCACCAAGGGAACCCACTGCATAGGAAGGTTTACAGCCAAAACAAGGAGACGTCTTACCTAGGAGAGGCTGAACCTGGGAAGGCCATAGGAGAGAGATTTTTTTTGTTTTCAAGGTGTCCGGAGCGAGGACCAAAAAGAGAACACTGAGTAAGGGGAGACAGCCGCTGACCCATGTTAGGCTGACATAGAGAGGTCCAGAAAATATATACTATATATATATATATATATATATATATATATATATATATATATATATTCCATAGGCTGTAACCATAGGTGTTGCAGCAGGCTAGTCTGTTTTGTTAAAATTTCACTGCAGCAACTAAAAATGGTACTCAGTAGTTTGTATGGTCCCCAGGTGCTTGTATGCATTACAAAAAAAAAATGGCCTTGTTTACAAAAGTGATGTCGCTCCGGTCCTCCAAAGGCTGAGTGGAGGCCATCTTTCCTTCACTGATCTCTATGCCCAGCGTCGGGATCGCTCAATGGTTTCTCAATTAAGGCTGAGAACCACTGAGCAGCGGAGGGTGAGTGAGCGACTGCGAGGGATGAGGTTATTTTCAGCTCATGTATTGGTGCTTTATTTCATATGGACCAAAGGCCGATAGGGGTGTTTTCGGCCTAAATGTTTTGGCCACCAAAATTTCAGTGCATCCCTAATAAAAAAAAAATAATATACATATAGTCAGGTCCATAAATATTGGAACAGCAACACAATTCTAACATTTGTGGCTCTATACACCACCACATTGGATTTGAAATGAAACGAACAAGATCTGCTTTAACTGCAGACTGCCAGCTTTAATTTGAGGGTATATACATCCAGATCAGGTGAACGGTGTAGGAATTACAACAGTTTGCATATGTGCCTCCCACTTGTTAAGGGACCAAAAGTAATGGGACAGAACAATAATCATAAATCAAACTTTCACTTTTTAATACTTGGTTGCAAATCCTTTGCAGTGAATTACAGCCTGAAGTCTGGCACGCATAGACATCACCAGACGCTGGGTTTCATCCCTGGTGATGCTCTGCCAGGCCTCTACTGCAACTGTCTTCAGTTCCTGCTTGTTCTTGGGGCATTTTCCCTTCAGTTTTGTCTTCAGCAAGTGAAATGCATGCTCAATCGCATTCAGGTCAGGTGATTGACTTGGCCATTGCATAACATTCCACTTCTTTCCCTTAAAAAAACTCTTTGGTTGCTTTTGCAGTATGCTTTGGGTCATTGTTCGTCTGCACTGTGAAGCGGCGTCCAATGAGTTCTGAAGCATTTGGCTGAATATGAGCAGATAATATTGCCCGAAACACTTCAGAATTCATCCTGCTGCTTTTGTCAGCAGTCACATCATCAATAAATACAAGAGAACCAGTTCCATTGGCAGCCATACATGCCCACGCCATGACACTACCACCACCATGCTTCACTGATGAGGTGGTATGCTTAGGATCATGAGCACTTCCTTTCCTTCTCCATACTCTTCTCTTCCCATCACTCTGGTACAAGTTGATCTCGGTCTCATCTGTCCATAGGATGTTGTTCCAGAACTGTGAAGGCTTTTTTAGATGTCGTTTGGCAAACTCTAACCTGGCCTTCCTGTTTTTGAGGCTCACCAATGGTTTACATCTTGTGGTGAACCCTCTGTATTCAGTCTGTTGAAGTCTTCTCTTGATTGTTGACTTTGACACACATACACCTACCTCCTGGAGAGTGTTCTTGATCTGGCCAACTGTTGTGGAGGGTGTTTTCTTCACCAGGGAAAGAAGTCTTCGGTCATCCACCACAGTTGTTTTCCGGGTCTTTTGGTGTTGCTGAGCTCACCGGTGCGTTCCTTTTTTTTTAAGAATGTTCCAAACAGTTGTTTTGGCCACACCTAATGTTTTTGCTATCTCTCTGATGGGTTTGTTTTGTTTTTTTCAGCCTAATGATGGCTTGCTTCACTGATAGTGACAGCTCTTTGTATCTCATCTTGAGAGTTGACAGCAACAGATTCCAAATGTAAATAGCACACTTGAAATGAACTCTGGACCTTTTATCTGCTCATTGTAATTGGGATAATGAGGGAATAATCACACACCTGGCCATGGAACAGCTCAGAAGCCAATTGTCCCATTACTTTTGGTCCCTTAACAAGTGGGAGGCACTTATGCAAACTGTTGTAATTCCTACACCATTCACCTGATTTGGATGTAAATACCCTCAAATTATAGCTGACAGTCTGCAGTTAAAGCACATCTTGTTTGTTTCATTTCACATCCATTGTGGTGGTGTATAGAGCCAAAAATGTTAGAATTGTGTTGATGTCCCAATATTTATGGACCTGACTGTATATATACGCACAATTTTCAGACATATTTTCTTTACTACTATTACTTTCTTTGATTGTCAGCTCCGTTTAGTGGCCAAAATGCAGTATATTTTTCTGAAATGTTTTATATATACAGTAAACTTCTTAGATGTGGATTTGTAAGATAAACACTGCATTTTGTGTGTCCCTTTCAGAATGCATACTACTCCAACTCATTTAACAAATATATAAAAAAAACAACATAGAAAAATACAAAAATGAAAAAAAAAATATATATATATATTTTTCACACTGTCACCAGTCAATGTCCCTGATCGCACACCAGTTAATGATCATACTGTACTGCACTGGTGACAGTATGTGAAAAAAAAATAGTGATTTTTCTTTTTTTCATTTCCCCGAAATATATGACAAAAAATAACAACTTAAAAAAAACTCACCATGCCTCCTACTAAATGCCTCAGATTGTCTTTTTTCCAAAAATGGGTCATTTGGGGGATATCTGTACTGTCCTGACATTTTTGGGCATCAAGAAATGAGCTAGGCCATCAGTACAGCAGGATTGATCGATTTTCAGAATAGTTTGTAGACTCTATAACTTTCCTATAGACTAAATAAAACATACCAATTTGGGGTATTTTCACAAAAGAAATGTAGCAGAATACATTTTGGCCTAAATTTCTGAAGAAAAAACACTTATTTGCATAATTATATAACAGAAACAAAGAAAAACGCATTTAGTTTCCAAATTTTCTATATTTTTTCATTTATTTAGCAAAGAATAAAAAACCCAGCGATGATCAAATAACACCAAAAGAAAGCTCTATTTGTGTGAACAAAATTATAAAAATTGTATTTTGATACAGTGCTGCATGACCGCACAATTCTCATTCAAAGTGCGAAAGCTGAAATTTTGTCTGGGCAGGAAGGGGGTAAAAATGCCCTGTAAAGTGGTTAATGGATAGAGTAAGGGAGGGATATAAGCCCTGTTTTGTTTTGTTTTTTTTTTCTTTGCCAGCTGTGTCCCATTGGGTATATTTACATTTATCTTGTCCCATAGCCAAAACAGTAAGTGAGAAAATCCCTGAAAATTAAGGGGATCCCCTGGGTCCCCCCATGTCACCAGAACTAGTACCCTATCAACCTCCCTAGCGGTCTGATTATGTCCATATTTCTGTGCTCAAAGCGGTACATTGTTTTGCATGGAAATATGTAGTTTTTTTTATTGTAGGCCTGTAATTTTTAGGAATAACTCACTGGTGCAGCACAGTGGCTAAATGGTTAGCACTTCCGCCTGGCAGTACTAGGGTTGTTGGTTCAAATCCCAACCACGGCACCACCTGCCTGGAGTTTGCATGTTCTCCCTGTGTCTGCGTGGGTTTCCTCCGGGTACTCCGGTTTCCTCCCACACTCCAAAGACATGCTGGTAGGTTAATTGGCTCCTGTCTAAATTGGCCCTAGTATGTATGAATGTGAGTTAGGGACCTTAGATTGTACGCCCTTGAGGGTTAGGGACAGATGTGAATGTACAATATATATGTAAAGTGCTGCGTAAATTGACTGCGCTATATAAGTACCTGTAATAAATAAATAAAATAAATCTGTCCGAACAAGAGTCTAGTAAACATTCCGGGTATGTTAAAATTTGAAACACGAAATCATAAATTATAATTTAATAAATAATCATAAAAATAATATAATAAATTTAATTCAATAATATAATCAAACTAAAAACACTGAAATTTGAAATATAGCGCCAAGTTCGCACATCACTGAGCAAAGTCGCAAAATCGTTTTCAGTGTCTGATGATGAATTTCCCCACGAATCATTATCACTCAATTCTGCAAGTGGTTCTAATTTACTATCGCTGTTTTCTAGCTGGTCTAAAACCGCTTTTGACCTAAAGGGACGTTCTTTGGACGCCATGGACATTTCTCAGTTTCCAGGCAGAAAGAACAGTAAAAATGCAGGCAGGGCACAGGACAAAGCACTAGGGACAAAATGTATGTGAAATGGTTTGAAACAGTAATGTTTTACTATGTTATTTTAGTGAATGTCACTTTTAAAATTTTAAAATTTCCCGCCAGTTCCGTCCCCGTACGTCCTGACGTCACAGGTAATGGTACCCGGAAGACAGATGCCGGCATCGGCCAGATGACATTGCCAGGGACACTGCAGGGGGGACATCGCGGGAGCACAGGACAAGGTAAGTGAAGAAGAGATCCCGGAGCAGCGCTGCAGGGTATTCCCGAGTGTAGCTCGGGGTTACCTCTTGTGGTGCTGAAACTTTACCCCGAGCTACACTCGGGAATACCTCCAGGGAAGTTAAAGATGTTCCCTCTATTACTGCTCTGGGGACAACCCAAAGTTAAGGATTTTCTTTTACTTTCACTTTCAATGAGAATGGTAAACGGGACAAAAAGGGAGGGTGAATCACCCTAATTGGGGCAGAGGTAGCAATAAACACCTGGTAGTCTAATCCCTCTCCACTCTATCCAAAACTTTTTTTAAAAAAAGTTATGCCTTCAGTTATACTTGAAAGCAAATATTGCTGCCTTTAGTTATGCTTTAAAGTTCACAATCTGCAGATTTTACAATGATTTTGACAAAAGGCCTGCTCATATAACCCAAGCACAATTGCTCATCACTATTAGCAAAGAAGACATTATTAAGTTATGGCTTATATGGTTTATATCTACAAGGTATTTTTTTTAAAGCAATTTTCACCCAAGCAGAGCCACATCAAATTTATAGCTAATTTTGATGAAATTTTGCTTTATTCTGTAATTCCATTGGGAAATCAATATCACCAAAATCGCTTATCCTAATTGAAAATGTACAGTTGTGCTGCCTCTGCAGTATGTGGGAAATGCAGTTGCATATACAGTATATGTATAGCCTATGTTGTTTTCTAGGTAATTGTTTTTATGTTGCTGCCGCCTGGTGACCATTTTTTTTGTATTACATGCTCTTTTCTGTATACCCTTTCCTTTCTTGTGTGGTAATTTCCTTTACTGCTGTATGGAGTTTTGTAATTCTCCATCCCTTACAAGCCACACAATGATGTTAAGAGAGCCAATACTCCCTTTTGACCACCTAATACACTTCTAAAACACATACAATAAAGACATTCTTGGATTTCAAGTGTAAGATCTCCCGATAAATCCATTACTTCCTCTTTAATATTTAAAATAGTCTACTTTTTTAACTAACACAATTCTTGACTATACCTTCTATGGGTCGCATCTTGTAATCATGAAAAATTCTGGTTTGCAGTTTAATCTCCTTGTTAAACCACTGGTAGTATACAGATTTAAAGTGATAATAAATACAATTAAAAATGTTTTTTAAAAATGGTATACTTACCTGCTTTGTACAGTTATTAGCACTGATCACTATTTTGGTGTCACTGGGGTTGTCAGTGACACCAAGTCATTCCCTTAGTGTCAGAATGCCAGCTGCAGTCCCACTATAAGTCACTGATCGCCACCATTACTAGTAAGAAAAAAAATTAAAAAATTCCAGCATCTATACAGCCATTTGTAAACGCTATACCTTTCATATAAACCAATTAATTTACATGTATTGGTAATTTCTTTTTAGCAAAGACATAGCATAATCTATTTTGGCCTAAATTTATGATGAAATTTGATTTTTTTAAAAAAAATTTTACCGGACATGTTTAATAGAAAAAAGTCAAAAATAAAGTTTTTTCTCAAAATTGTTGGTCTTTTTTTTTATAGCGCAAAAAATAAAACCACACAGGCGATCAAATACCACCGAAAGAAAGCCGTGCTTGTGGGAAAATGGTACATAAATTTCATTTGGGTGCAGCGTTGCATGACCGCGCAATTGTCAGTCAAAGTAAAGCAGCGCTGTAATGCAAAAAATGGCCTGGTCAGGGAGGGGGGTGAATCCTCTGGAGGGCAAGTGGTTAAGGAAGGGAACAGCATATGTTATCTATCATAAAATAACCTGATTCCCTTTACATAGATTTTTTTATTTCTTCATGGCAAGTGAACATAAATTTGATGTCAAAAAGCTGAGATCATTTTATCAGTGTTATTAAGTTACTCTGATTAGTATGATAATGACCTCTGATGAGTTATGCAGTCATCTCCTATTTATTTCTCTTAGATAAAGAGATCATTCAGCTTTCTGACAGCAGTGTCTTGCTGGCTGAAATTAACATTCATGTGAATTTCAAACAAAAATGTTTATACTAATTTTGAAAGCATTCATGACATAGTCCAGATCATACTGAGTATGGATTTGCATGCATAATCATCTGTTAGTACTAAATGGAAAGATCACATGAAACTGCAAAATAGCCATATCATTTAGAAATGACATATGTAAAATATCCTTCCATCATCTTAAGTGCTTTTACACATGAAATGTTTTTCAAAAAATGTCTGAATATAGTGTTTATGAAGTCATATGTTATACTGCCAACATCATAAGAAATGTAAAAATGTTACATTGAGCTTTCTTCCTCCAAATATAACGCTAGACAGCATTTTTGCAAAAGTAGGAGACCTGGACCCCCAAGAACAACAGATTATTATTATTTTGTTGTTGTTAAAGTGGTTGTAAAGGCTCAGGGTTTTTTTTTACCTTCAGGCATTCTATGCATGAAGGTACAAAACCTTCTGTGTGCAGCACCCCCCCCAGCCTCCCTAATACTCACCTAAACCCCCTCTTGATCCAGCGATGTGTACTGCAGTCTCGGCTATCCCAGGACTCCCTCTCCTCTTTGGCTGAGACAGCAGCAAGAGCCATTGGCTCCCATTGCTGTCAATCACAGTCAGTGAGTATATGAAAAGAGAGAGGGGGCAGGGTTGAGCAGCAGCTCCATGTGTGACTGAACACATGAAGCAGCGGCTGGGGAGTGCGCATGCTTGGTTCCCTCCATAGCAAGCTTGCTGTGGGGGCACCCAAAAGGAGGGAGGGAACATGAGCACTGGCAGGGGACCCGAGAAGAGGAGGATCTGGGCTGCACTGTCTCAAAACCACTGCACACAGCAGGTAAGTATACTATATTTGCTTTTTTTTTTTTTTTTTTTTTTTTTTAAATGGGAAATAGAAGTGAGTTTTTTATTACATTTTTTTCTCTAGAGACTATGTGAATTAATTTTTTTTTTCTTGTGTGTATTCTAGTGCCTGTTTACCAGAAGCAAAGGTGACAAGCTCAGCAAAAACCAAGAACAAGGAATTGCTTTGTATGCTTTCCCAGAAATACTGTATTATGAAATATAAAGATATTAAAATGACACTCCCTTTCCTCAGTCTGTGTACACAAATTAAAAACATGACAGATCTGTCATATAAAGAAACCACACATTCATCATTATTGGTGCTGTTGATGATCCTACAGTCAAACTCAGGTTGTCTAATCACTACACAACAAGCCTAGACCATACATGAGTCTTCCTCAACTTTTTAACTCCAGGGAAACCTTTGAAATAATTGTCAGGCCTCAGGGAACCTCTGCTGAAATTAATTCTTTGGGGATCAGTGGGAAGAATGCCCTTTACTTTGGTGGTCAGATTGCCACCTATAAAAACAGCTATAAAAGATCACTGAAGTCCGTACAATATTTCTTCCTTTTCTGAAACATTAATAACACTTAAATATGGATTGTTCTTTTCAAAATGCGGCTGTGTGTCCTTTTCAAAATGCAGCCTACTTCAACAGCTTTAATTCTGTCTGTTCCATATTTCTAGCTATTTTCTGTGAAATGATACACACTAGTTTTTATTTCTTGTTCAAATCTGCCCGGTCACTGCCTCTAAATTTGCAGCCTAGTAAAAAGGCTGACATATTGTGCATGTGTTTAGTCTGTACCATATATATGGTTTTTGTCTTATAAATAATACACTTTAATTTTTACAATAAAACCTGCCTCGTCTCTGCCTCTTCAAATCACTTACCTGATGTGTATCAAGTCTGCACAATATTTCTGGCTGTTGTCATTGACATAATACAGTCTAATATTTATTTCTTAATAAAACCTACCAGGTCCCTGCCTTTGAAATTGAAAAAGACTTGCATAATGTGCAAGCATATCTGTGCCAAGTAAAACTACTTACATAGTTTGCAGCGAGTCTAAACAATATTTCTGCTGCTGTCTCGGAAATAATGAACTCTAACTTTAAATTTATTAAATAAACTGCCACATCTCTCCCTCCTACATTGCTGCCCAATCAAGCTTACATATGCTACAGCAAATATACTATAAGTTGGTTGAATATGGATGTCACTGTAATTTTAATTTCAGCATAACAAATACCTCATCTTTGGAGTGTGAGGGTGTGGTTTTGAAGTGTTTCTCTTACTTGTTTTGATATTTATTAAACCTTTTTAGACAATACAGTGTGGCATTACACAAAACGAAGATCCCAAGTCGTGGTTTGGAAAAGTGGTATAAAAGTGAGGGGTTTAGGGTTTTTTTTAAGTGTAAACCTTCCAATAGCTTTTAGATATGTTTTGGCTGCCACTTCCACAGCTAAGTTCTAGTCTATTACTGCTAGATAAAAAAATTAAGTTCACATTGAACAGATTGAGGTACTTCTGCTGTATTTAAGCCAAAGAATTATGTAAAAGTAAAATAATCTATTACAAGTGATAAATATCTGAAGCCAGAATAAAGTGTTGCTGACGATCTCTGTGAGTAGTACACTGTTCCATAACAACACTTACAGCTTAAAGGTATCTCCAAAGCATGTCATTTGAAGGATTTGTTTTCCAATGTCACCCCCAAAGTTGCATGAAAAAGAAGGCCCTTGTCTACCTTTCTGATGCAATACATTTTGTTTTGAAACCAGAAAAAAAGGGCGCTCCCCATGCTGAACAGTAGTTCTAAAAACTGTTTTTAAAAAATAAACAGGGAAGATGATAGGCTCAAAGGCAGAGTCCCTCTAAGAAATAAATAATTACAATAATTTTAATAATAATAATACAAAGTCCAAAAAGAGGTCAGTCATTAGAGGTCAGTCATTAGAGCAAACTGTTCCAAGAGCTGAAGTAGACTCTGAGGTACATGGAAGATAAAAGCAAAGGAAAAAGTGCCTCTAAATGCAGTAGTACCAATAAATTTAATAAACGCAAATTAGGGCAACTCACAAATAGAAGGCAAAAACATCATGGAAATGGTGGTTTGGGGCCCCAAGATGGAGATTAGCCAG